CGTTGAGAAATAGCATTTGCTATATAGGTGTGCAATGCGTCGATAGAACCTCAGGTGTATCAAGAATGTAAAATGATAAGTCGACACCAGGTAACATCCGGGGCCTTAAATATCGAAACGATTAATAGTGGGAGGTGATGAAGGAGTTAACGCTAGGATAAGAACACTGGCCACGGCCAATCCTCTGGTGCTAAATACTCTAGTTCAAGGAAAACGATGAAGAGGACGGTTCAATTCGGATTTCTTTTAGGCGCGACTGATTAGGGACCTATATTTCGAGCGCGAAGCATGGTGGCGAAGCACATTTGATTCCCGAACCTCTTCGGGTTTCCATTCGCGTATTTAAGGCAATATCATGCTCTTTTCCCTACGCGAATTCGAATTGAACTGCATTATGCCTCCCGGACTTAAAATTCCTACGCTCTGATACTGGGGGCCATCACAATTATGAGTACCTGCCTGTTATAACTATGATCGACCGCAGATGGTGTATCAGCTATATATGAGACTACAACGAAACTGGGTCTGATGACCAACAGGAATATCAAAATTGGCAGTTAACGGCTGAGCACTAGATTCTGTTACTTCCTCACTTGTGGTTATAGATCAAGGGCCACGACACCGTTATGCCTCATGTCAGAACTACCAGCCACAATGAAGACGCGTACGAGACCTTGGGGATGTGTATCCCGTGCGGAATGGTCAAATGTAAATTTATAGGAGACAGTATTCTGTAGGACTCTAATCATAGCATACTACTCTCGGGAAGAAGCAACAAGACTTAACAAATGTTGACCTCCGAGTAATCCCAATTGCCAAATAGACATATCCTTAATAGTGGCGACTTCTCGGTGGCTCGAAGAGAATAATCGAGACATGTAATATGAATATATTAGTATATACGCCATCTGCGAGTGCAATTGAAGCCTTGCAGAGCATTGGATGATATACCTGGCATTGCCATGCCTGGATCATGGTATGGCCATCGTTGAGCCCCTGAGTATTATGAGAGGAGCATTGGTTTTCTTGGGGCTATTGCAACCTCCTAAACTACAGGTGAGACATATGCACAGATTCAATATATCATCGAGTCAAGAAGTCTAAGATATTGAACTTACTAGGTTGCCCATGCACTTGTATCTTACTCGCATCTGAGGAGAAAGTATCGGATAGGGGGCCTATGTTGTACTCAAGTTTACAACTAGCGAATCTTGGACGACACTATTGGCATTCCGATTTATAGATCACTGAATAAGATCATCGACGTAGAAGAGGATGAAGCCGCCACTTGCGGATAAGCAAGTGGTTATCACTTTATATTTCTCTGTTAAGATATTATTCGATTACTAGCACTATATCCGAGACGGAATAACTAGGTACCTAGTGATGGAGGGTAGATATCGATATGCCCCCGAATCTACTGGCTGGATCCTGAAGGATCATCTCATTACCACATATTCGGCTCCTTTACATGTGTCTGGAGAGTTCAAAACTCCCAAGCTGAGGGCGTGCAACCCACTGATACAAGTCTGACATATCGCTGCCTTACAAGGCGCACACAGGAGAATGACAAGACGGAGGAGCTAGAAAGATAGTAGGGAAACACATAGCATCCGTAGTAAGTGTATTAAGGGCGCCCTGTCTCGATCTATTACTTCAAAGTGTCATGTATACCTCTTAACAACGCTAGGCTTTAGAGTTATAAAGCAATGAGCCAACCACATACCCGTACAGGGGTAATTTTGCTAGAGTTAGGTTTTCGAGTTGGTGTTTGCTGCATGGACTTTCTCTCGCAAGGCCCAATCCAATATTCTCGGCGTCTGATGTTAAGTAGACACAAATTTTGAACTCGCTAGTAACTGCTAGGGGCGGGTCGACGAATCGAAGAGTTTGCTAAGAGGTATTCACTAGTCACGAGCGAAAATCTCCTAGTGACACTATATTACACCAATCCGTATAGCACCCGATAAACTCCCATGAATACGAGCCTGTCGACCCGGGACGGGCCTATAAGTCCACCATCGCGCCGGTTGTGCTCCTATTTGCCACGGGAGCTTCACACAAAGTGCTACTAGAAAATAGCTAAATGTATTTAAGTAATAGCGGTCTTATTTCGATATAACAAAGATACGGATTGAACGAGGTTAGAATCAATCAAGTAATTACCTACTAGTGATGTAGAAAAGATCCTGGGATACCGAAGTTATGGCTTCTGAAGGAACAACAAACATGCTCGATCCTTCAGCCCAGGGAATCCTAGAATGCGACGGTAACAAGGACAGCGAAATCGATCGTGATATCTAGGTGGTCTTACACAGATAGGTACTTATTTTCTTATTGTTTTGTAGATGCGAAATATACGGGGAGCAAAACATGCTATTTCTAGCATAGCAACCTGGTGAGATCCATTTACCTCGGTCCTAAGTGTATAATTACCTAGGTATTATATTAGATTGAAAGTAACGTATCCAGAGCGTCATCGTCAGTGCCGCTTAGAGCGCGTAGTTTAATTTCACGCCCACTAGGAATTGATGATAATCTTTAAGTGATTGACAAGACTCAAGAGGCCATTCCCCTCTAATTTAAACTAGAGCTGAATTTTAGTGTAACGTGGGCGGCAATGGATCGATCTGGCCAATCTGAAGAGACAATCCCTAGTGGTACGAGTTGTAAGATGTCTTTGCTTGTCGTGGGGCCATCAATTAAACATACTAGCCTTGCGACACTCTTGATGGTATTAGTAGACTTGCAAGCGTTAGACGATACACACCCATACTATGTACATAAAAAAGGGGATCGAAGAACACATCGCATGGCTCGTTCTAAAACAAACCATTAGTGAGATGAATATTAAACGCGGAAGAGGCCAAGACCAGAGGATCCGCTTCGCATAAACAGTCACCGGCGGCTGATGACGAATTTTTCGGGAAAAGGGTGATGGCACCAGCGGAGGCGCCCATAAGGAGACCACGGTGGTCTGAAGGCCCTGGATTTAAATACCCTGGATCTACAGTACATCGATTGTAATTTATGCCGAAATTCACTCTCGTTGCTTGGAAACGGGGATTTCGGTAACAGTAGTATAAATAACGGATGATCTCCATAAGAGATGGAGATCTGGAAGCTCCTGAGAAGCGGTAAGTAGTGAAATCGCTTTAAAATTCGGAGCCGATGGGGGTGGTTATGTAACTCTCGTAGTGTCTGTGGTGTCTGTGGTGTATGTGGTGTTTGTGGTTCGCGGCGCGCCGTTTCTTGCCCCTGTGAAGATCTAGTTCTCTTCCATCCAATCTTGCAAAAGCATAAGCGATACGTACTGAGAAACTGTACATGATACTTTTACGATATGAGAGTGCTACGCAAAGTTTGGAGGGCGTAATATGTACCATGATACCGCGTGCTACCCCTGTTATAGATGACGATAGCATTGACGACATGGTCTGGGGTTTAGCTTGTCTCGTCTGTCTCGCGACTCTCGCGACTCTCGCCAGTCTCGGTCTCGTTGGTCTCAACTTTAAGAGACCTGTAACATTAGCCCAATTCTCTCTTTTTCTAACCGCGTATGTATGTAAATCCCTTTCATATCACCCGTAATATTACTCGTGCGACAAAACCGTCTTCGCCGTGTCTTTACCACGTGTGCCACCAACGGGATTCAATTAGGAATTAGGATCGCACTTTTATGAATCATGATGATCATGAAAGATATCTGACGGGATCGCCAATGATTATAGCCGGATACTACAGGTCAGTATTTTTAAAAGCTTGGCTGGACGAGGCAGGTGTTCGTAGAATTTGTAAGAACTCGTGGCTGGTGATCAGCACTTCGTAAGGCTTCAAGGTTCATCTGATAAAATCAGATAAATTGACCGACGCTTGATTCTGCAAGTCATATATCAAAAAAAGGAGCCGAAGGCATTTTCATATGAATAGTCGGCCAATTACCGTCGACTCTTATCCCAATATGGTAGGCAAAGAATAAGTTAGCACGACATTTGATTCAATTGGATCAATTGTACATCGAGTATTCCTATCTAATTGGTACGTACATAAATACCTGACAGGCTACATAGGTTAGGGTAGTACTAGACTGTTTGAGGTGAAAGGCACAGCCCCACAATCCTTGTTTGCTAGGATGAATTATTGACCAATCGTATACTTCAATCTTTTTCAGCAACCTTCCCGATACTGGAATAGGTACCCTCTCCCATGGGCCATTTCACGCCGACAAGGTCCCTTCCAGTCTCTCCTGCACATGCAAACTGCAAACTGTAACTGCAACTGCAACTGCATCCCGAACGTAGTGGTCAATTCTGGTAATTCCATTCTTTCCTTCCCCATGGATAGTTATTCCATCCGGCAGTTATTGACTTCTAGTCCGCTTTCACTCCTTTCGTAACTCTTTTCCATCGTGCATACTTCATACTTCATACCTCATACCTCATACCTCATACCTCATACCTAAGGTATCGTACATTTCGGTCACCGACCACTTTCCATTCATTTGTAAAAATCATTCGTCGACTTCTATTCCAGTAGGGATCCTTGAGTTTTTACTCCTCTAGTTCTGGTAACCCTTTTTCCCTCTCAGTCACCTCGCCTCGGCTGCGTACATACTGCATACTGCATACTGCCTGAGGAACCTCGTTGAGTTAAACGTCAAGTACCAAGTCCTACGCAAACGACGGGGACGAGCACCACGAAAACACTCAACAATCCAGAAATTGTTTGTTTGTCTACTACTTCGTACTTCAGGTTTCCTACACGTCAAGTGTTTCCCCGTTAGGTTACCTTAGCCCTTACGATTTCACACGGACTTCCGCGACTTTGGATCACCTTGCACAAGTCGTCGACCTGCTGAATTCCGATTCTCATAATTCCTATCCGGCCTCATTTGGTCGTTGACTTTCTACTCACCATCAACCAGTACCCAACCCCATTCTTCCGACTCAGAATAGCCATGGGCTACCTCGTGGGACTGTGACATTTTCTCGTTTCGTCCTACGCAGTTCTCTTCTATTGTCTATTCTTCAACTTGGCCAGCCAGCTTGACCACTTTCAACTTGAGATACCCCCGATATTCAACTTCGATTCTTGTTCAACTTCTTCCCGCCTAGTTTGCGGAGTTCTGTCGATTGGTCATCGACATATTACGTATCATACGATCCTCTGAATTGTTACTTGCGAGTCTATACTCACGGTCACGGATCTCACGATGATGTTCATCACCGTTTTCACCTCCCTTGCCCTTTTCTTGGGCCAAGGTCTCGCTCAGGATGCTGGCCTCCTGCCTTGTGCTGTAAGTAGAACCTGCTCGAAATGCAGCTGCCTAATTATCTGGCTGATATGCTTGGCTGGATTACCCTCCCTTTCTATCCCGTGTATGCATATGGGCTTTATAACTGACGTGGGTTTTCTTATCTAGTCGGGTTGCGTCAATGGCGTCTTCGCCAATTCAGCCGCCATGGGATGCGCCATGAATGATCGCCTCTGTGTCTGCGGAAAGGGTGCTGATTTCTCGGACGGCATCCGCGATTGTATCAACCAGGCATGCCCCAGCGATGTAGCTGCAGCACAGATTACGATCGCTCAGGGTTACGGTAACAATGAATGCCAAGGTAAGCAACCATAGCAGCAACCTATGTCCTCCTAGTATTCTACAAGACCTCTTAATTAACAAGGAGATTTTAGCCGCATCATCTGCAGCGGGTGCTCTGCCTTCTCCTACACCGGCCCCTAGTACGCCGGCCTCTTCCGCTAACCCTCAACCTACCGAGCAGGCTGCTGAGTCCGTTTCCTCGACCACAGCTGCGGAAACTACTAAGGCCCCTGAGCCAAGCCCAAGTTCTACCTCCGAGTCGGGCTTCTCTGCTGCATCGGTTGAATCGACTGCTTCCAGTTCGACCCCCGCTGCTACTGAGTCATCAGCACCTGCGAAGACTTCCGCAGCTACCTCTGTATGTTCATTATGCTTTCATTTTACCGCGATGAATGAAATGCTAACCTCCTATTTAGTCATCAGTACCGTCAGCTACTACTAGTAATTCAGCCGTCGCCGCCGGAGCGACATCATCGGCAGAGAAGACTGATGAAGGATCATCCTCCAGCCAGGATAGCGGTTTGAGTGTTGCCGCAAGAGCCGGGATTGGCGCAGGTGTTGGTGTTGCAGCAGTTCTAGTCATGATCATCGCCTTCTGTCTTCTCCGTCGCCGATCAAAGACACCCGAACCAGAGCGCGCCCAGACTATGCAGATCTCGCAGCCTCTTCCAGGATCTGGACGACAGTTCGCCGAAGGTGTCCGCCTACCCGACCCTACTTTGTCTAAGGACTTTACGCCGTCGGCACCATCACCAGAGCCCGCGGGACGCACCCCTTCGCCTATGGCCCGTCCGTATTCGCCATCCACCGCGTCGTATGCCTCGGAACTTGATGCCAATGCGCGCCCCTATGAGGATCTGTCGCCGCGAACGCAGCCCCGAACTATGATTTAATCGACACCCCATGCGCACGAGTCTACGCATCAACCTATTTCCGATTAGGATTTCTTTGTTGAGTCTGCGGATGCTTTTTCATGAGCTAGGAACCCGATATCCAAGCCATCCCTTCCAAGGATTTATTGCGGATGGTTGCAGCATGGACTCGGTTCGTTTTCGTGGTAATCCCGCTGGTGTTCTAACGACCTACTTTGGAGGCCGAAAAGAGAGAAGTGTTTCTCCAGTTTAATCGCACCGATTTACGTACGAGAGATGGGACTGGTAATTACAATCAAGACGCAGAAACCGAATGATGTAGTTGCAGAAGGGGATGGACTCGAGATGAAGCTTTGCTATTTATTGGCATGAAAACAACAACAGCAGCAACAACAACAATCGCGTTTTGTAGTTGATTGTGATATGTAGCTACGTGACATTAATTTTTTGCTGGCCAGCTTTGCAGATTAGATGGCCCCCTTTTTTGTTGTATTTAAGGTTCGCTGGTAGAAACCCATAAGCAGATGACGCAAATCTCGCTGCTTAGACGGCAGATTTAATTCCTTTTGTAATGTTTTTGCAAGGTTCTGTCTCGAAGAGAGAGCTATTGCGTATTCTCAGTCGAGTTGATTTCTTCTTTTATGGTACACGTATCGAGACGATACGATATCTCTTACATAGAAGCGTGTGCAATCATGCCCGCTATTCACAACCGCATTATCATGCATCATATTTGACCCTTGAACTAGACTAGCTATTTGCTCTTTACCAGCTGTAGTAAGGTCTCTGTGCTGTAACCGGCCGGTTCGGCAGATGCACCCATGGGCGTTTCCGCGCTTGCTTCTCTACCTTCTCGTCGTACAGTCGCATCCTCGTCTTTTCCTCCTTTAGAACGAGGGAGATGGCTATAAATAGGAGAGTTCGTTAGCTATCGTCTGTTCTGGCATGACGGCTGGAAAAGTGTATGTCTGTAGTCGTTTTCGGGTAAAGGGGTGTAAAGGGAGGGCATATGAATTCATGCTCGGACACTTACCAGCTGTTGGCCGCCACATCCGCGACATGCGGCTTCGCGCGTGGTACTGGACGCGGACGCCACGCCAGGGACCCTTGGTGACCCAGGACTGGTCGACGTACAAAGTCGTCGGGTCGTTGACCTCGATCCAGCGGCCGTCCTTGGTCTGGATCTTGCGCGGCTTCTCGAGGGTCTTGCCGTCTGCGGCGCCAAGTCCCATACCGTGGGCGACGATGGCATTGTCGCGCGCCTCCTCCAGCTGCCACTTGACCTCGCGGGCCATCTTCTTCTTGCTGAAGCGCATCTGCGTGATGGCTTCGTCGACCGTCTTGCCGGCGATCTGGCGCGATAGAAACATCAGCTTCTTGGTGCTGGTGGGTAGGTCCGTGCTGGCGCTCGTGTGCTGCTTCTCGGTAAGCCGCACGCGCTGCTCCCGCGTGAGCGGCTTGTCTCCGTTTCGCACCATCTGCATCACCTTCTTCTTGAGGAAGCGCACGCGCCATCGGGGATCGGGGTTCTCGGCTCGTTCCATGTGCTCCTTTACTTTCGTACCGGCACTGGCCGTGGGCCTTCTCCGCTGTCCTGGTTGCTGCTCGAGCTCCTGCTCGAGCTCCTGCTTCTGTACCCTCTCCGTGTCCTTGATCTCCTCGTCGAAGATGGAAGATCCCTGTGTTCGTTGCAGATTCTTCTCGGCTATGATCTGCTCGCGCTCGCGCCGGGAGAGCTCTTGGGCTAAGGGTGAATTGACTTTGGGCTTGGCGCCCCAGTTGAACCAGGCATTGCGACGCTGCGTTTTGGGCTGTAGGTATTGTAGATGTAATGAGGGTTTGCCGGCGGTGGCCCGCGCTGCTATAATGATTTGATTAGCTGGCCTGTAGGGCGCAATTCGACTAGGTAAAAAGTACCGGCTGTGGCTACCCGCCTTGCCGGCAGATGTAAGCTCATGGCTGTTATGAATTGGTTGCGTTGGGCAGCCTGAGACGGAGCTGTAAAGCGGGTTCAAGGGTCTTGAAGTTGTAGTTTAGAAAAAGTTCAAATGTATCGGAACGGTCGAGAGAATGATTTGCCGAGATTTAACCGCCTGTTCACCTGTCGCCTGTCACCTGCCGGACTAAAGGGTACAAAAATACCCGTACGGTTATGAACTATAATTGTTTCACGTGACTCAGCGCAAGAAGCAGCTCCTCCCAAAGCTTCGCGCGAATTGGGAAACTTGATCAGACCATTTCCAACTTTTGAACGATAAGACTCGAGAATTCCACGAATTCGCCCGCAACCTTCCCGCTAAACGCTAAACCTACCTCTCACCCGTCTTCCTCAGAATCGCATTCGAAATGGCCATCGCACCTATCACCGGCGTAAGTTATCTACTACGTCCAATTGCTGGCCATACCCCTCCAAGTTCATGATGAGGCTGATTTCATAACTACAGATGCTCCGACGGGGCCTCGTTGCCGACCTCAGCATTGCGCTCGGTGCGTCTATCCTAGTATTGGAAACCCTTTCAATGCTTTCCGATATCAGACAACATCATGCATGGGGCTCTTAGCTAACTTGAATTGCAGGACTTGGCGTAACTTTCGGCGCTCTCTACTGGTACGAAGACCATTCATGAATTATATCCCCAAGAGAACCAGGAAAATCGAGGTGGATAGGAACAGTGGACTAACTTGTATTATTCAAGGCACGGATACCACATGCCGCGCACCTACGCACGAGATAACTTCTACAGAAAACTCGAGCAAGAACGAGCTGCCGCGAGAAGCATCTAGATGCGTTTATGATGAAGGACTAGCGTGGAAGACAGAGTGCGAAGGGGAGGGAGGGGAGAGGACGCAAGATACTAGACGAGAACGACTTTTCTATCGTGTGGTTGGAGAATGCTATAGAAGGTGGTTATGCTTTGAAAGCTGGGGACGGCCGACTGTATTATACGAACGAGTACCCGCCCGCCGAATTCAGGCTCCCCTGAGCATTCTTCTTATCCGTTGGTCCGTACAATACGATCTAGTGGTCAGTTTTCGCAAGCGTGCTACGTATATACCTATGTATTGGTCTTGTTCGTATGACTATGAGTATGACGTAGTCGTAATTATACCCAAGGTATGAAAAGTTGTAGATGAGTGATGGTAATAGGTATATGAGATTGTCTTAATACGGCACATGCTATGATGAATGTGGTTTTCCCCTGGACTTGGAATTGTATCCTGTATCAGCTTCTATAAATTTATACCTATAATTAAGTACCTGATATAACTGTTTGACAAAGAGTATTCCCAAGATGAATTCTATATTAACACATTTACGAATCGAGATATCACAAGAATGCCCAGGTATCTAATGCAGTCTAATATGGTTTAACTATTTCATTTCTTAAAGTCAATGGTTTTATCAAACTACGTGCCGCCCCCCACCGAGGCTCTCATCTTTCTTCATCCCCTCCCAAACCGTAGTCTCAACCATAAAACTCCTCTTCTTGTCTTGACATCTAAACCGGACAAAGAATCAGATCAGTCTACCTAGCCATATACTACTACAAATAAATACAAATCGAAATCAAACTCACCGGCGGAACCATCGCTGCACGGGCCAGCACCGAACGGGGCTATTCGATACCTCGGGTCGGTCGATCTGGCATTCGTACTGGACCATCGAGAAGAGTTCGCAGGTGGACAAGTCGATCCGACCGCCTTTGCGCGCGCGGCCGTCTGTAGCTTGGATCTCGGATTCGAGTTGCGAGGCTGGGAAGACGCGGCACGGAGGCGCCATCGCTTCTCTCTCTCTTCTTGTAGATTGCTGCTGGGACTTGTGAGATGTGATGTGGAATAGATAGGTTAGATTAAGAGGATGGATTCTGCGACGGCGAAACACGTCGGTGCTCGATTGCTAGGTGAAGTCGAAGAGGGAAGCTTAGAAGAGGTATGTACGCACGCTTTTATTTTTATTTTGTGATGTGTATAAGTGTATAGAGGATTGAAAGATGGTTCATGTTTAGAGATTCAATTGAGTCTTATCTTATCACCGGCTCATATTACTTTTATATTATTTTTATATTATTTTTATTCTTACTCTCATCCCTCCTTTTTAAGTCGTTTTCGCTATCATGAGGCTCAACATATTATTTTATTATTATAACTAACTAACTTACTTATTCTAGCTTCTCGACTCCCTTCGTGTCAATCTCACAAGCGGCCCCTCTAATAATGTCCGTCCAGATATTCCCATCCCGGCCCTCGCCAACATCGCAGCTCGTTATCACAAAGCAACGCAATCCACGCCGCCACCGGTCCTCTCCGTGAGCGGGCGGTATCTCCCACTCCTATACCACTTGATATCAACTCTCATTGCCGAACCGCATAATTACACAGTGGTCGTTGTCGACGCCGAGAGCCGTTTTGATATAACCCGCCTCGTTTGTTCTAGCCCCTCAAACAATACTGGCAATAGCAGCTATCCAGCACAACTACCTGACCTGCGCCACGTATACGTGTACCGGCCGGCGCGGGGGCAGGACCAAGTGCGGGCGGCGGTGGCGGCAGCGGGCGAGTGGATGCTTTACGGGGCTCACGGGAGCCGGGCTCGCGAGTGGTGGGGCACGGTGGTGATCGGCGGGGGAAGCGGTGTAAGTGTAAAGGGAGATGTGAATGCGGGATGGAAGGGTTGGCTGAGGGTCGAGCGGGAAGAGGTAGCCGGGTTTCCGGCTGGTGTTAGCGTCGAAGAAGCACTACGTGATAGAAATAAGAGGCAAGAGGTTGTTGATGATGCGGGATGGGTTGCGGGTTCGAGGGTTGGGAGTTATGTGTGGAGGGATAATTAGATGTTTGGATTAGATATTGTGGTGTATTTCTTTATTTTAGAGCATTAGAGTAATATAAGTATTTATTTATTTATTCAAGATTCTAAAACGAATTATATTATCGTGGTGTATATTGTGGTAACAAAAGGCTTGACTGTTAATCAATCACCAATATATGGATATAACACCGTCTAAATAAGAAAAGCAAGGGTTATTGCATATCAGATCTTACATGTGCGACCTAGTGGGGTTGACCCCATATCAGGTTAGACTAAACTTAAAAACCTTCACCAACTCAATTCTCTTTCTTTACACCAACGGTCCGCGAATCCTTCTACTTCCCATATACAAACGGTCTAGTTTAATAAGTCAATACAGTCAACATACAGTCAACATATTCGCATACTAAATGTAATAAGAGTAATACATAAGGTATGGCGTCGTCGCAATACAGCTCCCTTAACCCGCTCCAGCAATATAACCAGTTGTCCTTTGCTGTTATTTCCGAACACCAACACCAACAACATCAACATCAACAACCGCAACATCAATCTCAACACCAACATCATCCGAACTCGAATCCACATCCACATCCCCATTCACAACCTCAACCTCAACTTCAACTTCAATCTCGTCCCCACCAGCAACAGCAACAGCAGCAGCAACATCATTTACATCAACCCGCTCCCACCCATACACCACCAATCGTTGCACAGACATACCAACATCCACCAACTTTGCCATCTACAACCAACATCATCACACAACCACAGCAACAGCAACAACAACAACAACAACAACATAATATCAATACCAACGTCGATTCCGATTCTAGTCCCGATACTACGCCATTATCAACTACACCCGTGGTAAACCATAGCGCCACCAGCAATGCAAATCCCACATCGTTCGGTCCACCCCAGCGCAAACGTCGTCGCGTAGGCCGTCCACCCAAATCGCAACTAGAGCGCGACTACCTCGACCAGCGAGCCTCTAACAACCTTACACCCCCTCAACAACCGCCGCCTCCTCAAGTCCATTCACCACACCCCTTAAACAAGGGCCCCTATAACTCGGCCGAAGATGCTGTCTTCTCTCTCCAACTTCACGTCTTTACGTCCGGGTACGGCGTGTCGCAGAAGCGTACCGTCAAGGAAAAGCTGCCCTCGGGACGTTACGACCCGGACGGCGACGTCATTCGCAAGGACTTTGCGTGCGATCGTGGCGGGGCCGACTTCGTATCGCAGAGCACGGGGGAACGACGGCGCGAGAGCAAGAAGTGCGGGTGCGGGTGGAAAGCCGTGGTGCGACGATTGAAGCGGGAAGGTGATCTATGGTTCATTGATATAATAGAACCGAACCACAATCACCCGTTTACGCCCCCGGATCAGATGCACACAATCGCATCGTATAGGCGATGGCAGCGGGAGAACAACGCCGGGATACGGACAGCTATCGCAAGACTGGCGCGTGCTGCTGCTATGCCCGCTCGACAGGTCGCCGATTACCTTAAGGGGCAGTTCGCAGACCCGGATCTGGCCCGTATCGATCGGCATATCCTCCGCGCTCTCAGTATGAGCGATGTCGATATGCCGGGCGGTGATGCGCAGCAGAGCCAGACTTTGTTCGATGTCGTCGCGCGAAGGCCTACAATTATATTGCAGGAGAATACTGGGGAGGGCGGAGGCAATGGGAACCCAAGTGGGGGTGCCGTTACCGGTGTTCCTATCGGTGTGGGTGTTAATCCCGCTGGTACGCCTAACCGGTATCAATGAATGATTGCCTTTCTTTCCCATGCGAGGCTAGAGTCCGAGGTCCCAATGGCGGGAGTATCTGTATTTAATGTTTGAAATATCTTGCCTCAAACAATCGGTGGTTTTGCAGGTTTCTGGTATGTGGCTTATATAGGTACCGCGGGTTGCGATTTGGCAGGGCACATAAGGGCGTGGGTGAATCCCATCGAATAGCTTAATCACGGCTAGGTGCCGACGGGCTGTATTTATAGGAACGCGTATAAGAACGTGGGCGTTTAAGGTTCATTCGAATTGTCTGGCTACGTACGTAACGTACCTATATTTAGGTGGTATAATTCGGTGGAAGAGGAGAGAGAGAAGGAGATGAGGGCAAATATCACATATATACATAAGGGACCTTAATAGAAGCCAAGGAACTAATGTCATTCAAAATTTTAATACGGGATGTTAGTCAATTCCTAGGAAAGAAATCACCTATACACGGCTAGACTATCACGTTGAATCAAAGTAATATTTTAAATATATATATACAAGTGATATTCATAGGTATCTTATTCTAACATCTAGTGCGAACGAGTTCACGACAATACATGGCTCGTTAGATTAGTGTATCATTTTACATCTCGGTAAGTCTTCTTGGTAGATTTACCTGTCCATACTATCCCATCTTATCCTCGCCGCAGAAGAAGCCAGAAGGCAAGCCATCCATGCGCCCATACGATGCTACGCTAAATGTGAACGCTTCTCCTTTGATAGGCATGTAGAGGCTTATAAGTATTATCCAAAATGTCTATCCATCCCGGTTCTTCAATTCTGCAGCGGCGTCGCGATCTACTTAGCAAGACCAGGGACGGAAGCCTATGTCGATATAGTGGCGTCGGGAGTACTGGTGGATTTCTGCGACGAACAGGTCGTACACACGGCTATTACTTTTTTGATTGAATCCCGTGCCTCGAGACGCTCGTAGTACTTTTTCAAATTCTCAAACCCAGCTCCATCATGTCCAAACAGATCTTGGCCTTGAACCCTAATTATATCGTGAAGGACAGGGAAAAATGCAAAGTCGGCCAGGGTCATAGTAGGTCCTGCGATGAAATCGTTGCCTTCCGCTGCGTAATCCTCCCATGTACCCAATTCGGCCTTCAGCTTTTCGTTCTTTTTTAACAAGGCAATCCCTTGCTGAAAGCGAGTGCCCTCTTTCACAAAATCCCTGGACGGGTTACTTCCGGCTTTGGGACCGTAAAAGCGATCGAGGTACAGCATGATTGAGGTCTCGCCCTCGACAGTTGTCTTTAGAAAGTCATTATCGACAAACTTGATAGGGAGGTCCTTAGGGATGGCGAAGGGGTCATTAGTAGGCCTGCTATCCTTCCACTTAAAGAGCGGCGACATGCTACCTCTCGCGTAGCTAACTCCGTACTCGGCTAGCATCAGTTGGATACGCATATTAACGACTGGATCCGGTGATAGGAATAGTCGAGGTGCGGTGGAGATGTGCAAAACGTCAAATCCTATGCCATAATATTCCTCCCAGTCGAATTCTGTCAACTGATTTTCCCGACCGAAACTTTGCAGCATTTTAATAGCCTCAGGCGTTTGTCCATTGATCACATTTTTCGCGCCCTCCCTCGTCTTTGATGTAGCCCCTTGCCCCCATATCAGCTTGTTGTCACGGTCCAGGAAGGTCCCTATCCTTCTGAACGTCAACGAGATGCGGCCACCGTCGTAGGCCAGCTCCGCGTCTGATTTTTCGCGGTTGATCCTCTTGTCTTGTCGAATGCCGTGGAGCCATCGCATATTTGTCTGCAATCCCATCTGAAAAAGCGAATTGTGAGGTAGACATGCTCGTTGGACTTGACGTTTTATCGTGGGCAAAGGCTCCGCATCTACCGAATCCTTATTTCTCGGTTGTCGCTTTGTCCGTAGCGTCATGGTTCGTTCAGCACCCAGGCTAACATTAGCGATAAAGCTGCCCTTGGAAATATCCAGCGTTTTATCGCTATGCTCTGAGATATAGTCGTTACCGTCACGGTAAAATTGTATAAGGACGTGGTTTAGAGGATGTCCCAATTGTTTTTCGACTACTTTTTTAATCTCAAGCACTGCAGGAGAGAATGGTAGCAACGGAGGCGACTCGTCTGACGGGTGACGGTAAATAGGCATGCTGCCATCCTCGTCCACTTGTCCTTGGACGGCGACGAGTCTTGGCACCTCGCCGCCTTGGTGAGACATGCGCTGCCATTGCACCTCGTCTCTTACCCTCTCGAAGATGTATTCAGATACTGGGTGTGGTAATATATCGTAGACGACCTTGGTATCACCCTCACATAGAGGCTCGCCCTCCCTTGGTCTTGGCTGGTCTCCGGGCGCCATTATTCTACTATCGTCAACTTCAGTGCTCGAAATCTCTGACGGACCTTGGATCCGTTCTGTGTGCTTCTCGCTTGGTGTCTCACTCACAGTCCCTGAAGATTCTGTTGTATTTTCTAAAGATTTAGGATTGCTCTCTTCCGCTGACGGGTTGGATTCGTCGCTTTTTAATCTGACTGAATCGGAAATACTTGATTCCTCCTTTTTGTCCGGTTGTTGTGTTTTCTCTAAAGTCTGCTGAGAGACAATAGTTTCGTCTTGAGTTGGTGGTTGTGCTTTGTCCTGTAGTAAGACTTGTGCATTATCATTATTTTTATTGGTATGACTACCTTTTTGTGAGTCATCGTCATCCGATTTTTGGTGCCGTGGCTTCGATTCGACCTCACTCACGGCTGCGACCGATGAACTAGCACGTGACTTTCGATTACTCTCCGCTATTGGTTTTGTTGGCTTTGTTGGTTTCACCAAGGGTTGAATCGATGGCGTTGGATCTTTCGTGGGTGATTTGACACGGGGAATATCGGCTGCGCGCTGAGAATTTAGCGACAGGTTCTCAAATGAGGATAATAAATCTGAGGCTGAGGACACAGTAGGATCATCCTCTTCCCCGGCACGACGTACTGTAGAGTATCCGCCGGCTGGAGAAGTTGCCGGTCTATCACCTGGCCTTCTCGACGGCTTCGACTTCGGCTTAATGGATGCCACGATGTCGGCTGAGAATAAAACATCGCAGCCCGTAGTTTTCGAAATCTGCTTGATGGAATTACGATGTTGCATTATGTTGTTGTAGCCGCAGCAATCATCGACTATCGTGATCGTGTATCCATGACTCGCAGCGTCGACGGCGGTAGCCATAACGCTAATATTAGTCATAGACCCGCATATAAAAAGCTCTGTGACAAGCCTCATACGCAGTAAGCGAAGTAGCTGCTCTGACCTGAAAGCCGAGTAATAAGTTTTCACGACTGAAAAATCCCTAGGTCCGACAGCCCCTTTTATAATTGGGTGCATCTCCACCCCGGAAGAGCCTGGTCGGACACATTTCGGTAGGTCTGGAGATTCCTGGGTTAGAAACGCCTCCGGAGACTCGGCTTGTTGATTCGTCTGCGGTGGTGTTGGCCGCCGCCGACCCCGCGAAAGATCTGGGGATTGGGAGTGGCTCGACCGATCCGATATGAGAATTTGCTCTTCCTGAGAAGACCGCGATTTCTCGAATCTGCTACATACCCAGATGATATCGTCGCCTCCTGCCCGTAGCGACGTCGCCAAGCCCGCTATCCGCTCTGGGAGATCCGAAGGCATCTTGATAGGTAGGGCGCCATCATTAGCCAGAAAATCATTCTGGGGGTCAACGACAATCAACGCTCTGCGGGTAGTCAGAGACGGGAGAAGGCTCCTGTCTATAGGAAACATATTTATCAAGAAACTCGCTTGCAATGTCTAAAGAACTTCTAAGCCGGATATTAGTTAGAATTGTGATATATAGAGTAGTAGTCGGTTAGGTAGCCAACTTACTTTATGTTATTTTTTTTATTTTTTTATTTTCTTAAGGGGTATATCAACTGCTACGACATGCTCGGAAATAGCAGCCTCGTTCTCGGAAGACTCGAGGTTGACGGCGAAGGGCGTGACATAAAGTAGAGTCTACCTATACTGGGATATATGTATCACTAGGGCTGTAGAATAAGCTTGGCAATCCTCGTCCGGACAAATATAGTTGGACAGCCAAGGGAAGAGCCAAGGAAGGTCAATCCACCAATACCAAGAAAACAGACCAGGATTCAAGTGGATGAATACACTGTACTCGAATATCGGGAGCGGACCAAGATAATGAGAAGGCCGATATAATATAATCGTTAAGAGGAATGAAGGGACCGAGGTCAGGTGAGAATTTACGTCGACAGTATTATATACGGTAAGACATAAAAGATGAATTCGAAATATGAAGATAAGGGTAAAGAAGATATGATATGTACAAACTTGCGTTGGGTAGTCTTGGCCGAATTATTAGATGTGTCGACGAAGAGGAAGAATAAAGGTTGGTCACAAGTCACGAAGATGAAGAGACCGTAAATGGAAAGATCAAATTAGGAAGTATGGATGCAAAGACGGGGCAAGGGTTTGGCTATAAACGGTCCTGTCCTGATATGACGATGAATAGCATCTGCATGCATGTGCAGTCATCTAATAACAGCTCGACATATTGCTGTATAGGTACCTGGTAATAGTAGTAATATTCCCTTTCTTTTTTTATTCTTCCGTTCGGGGAATGAGAATAAAAATGAAAATGAAAATGAAAATGGGGGAGAAGAAGAAGAAGAAGTTGACAGGGGGAGGGGATTAGAGATGGGGGGAGTTGGAGGGGTGTGAGACAAGGAAAAAAAAAAGAATAAAAATAAAAATAAAATAAAAAGAGAATACGGGATTAGATTGGGTGACGTTTACTCCATTTGTCCTTATTCGTTCCTTCTTTCAAATATTTTTTAATGCTCTTGCATCTTTTTCTTTCTTTCCTTCCTTTTCCTTCTTCGGGAGAATTACATCGGTAGGAGAGGTACATTACTACTACCTCTTCGTACCTACATCATATACATATGTATCAAGGTGTTGTTGCGTTTTTAAAAACCACATGGCAAACCAGGGCTACTTGGGGGAAGCTCGAGGCGAGACCCCCATCTATATTGTCCCGTCCAGTCCGTCCTGTACCTCTTTCAATGTTTTATTTTTATTTTTTTAGTGGTGATGCGACCAAGATATAGTACATACAGTAGGCTTATCTACCGAAGTTTAGTGGTCAATTTAGTGGTCACGCCGTCACGGTGATCCATTGAGCCGTAGGTAACAGACGCCTGCAACGGTGGAGTCTGGACGCACCTTCTTTTTATTTTTCTCTTTTACCCCACCAAAGTCTACCTACTAACGTTAATTCAAGACAACCTAAGCTTTATGATATTGGAGAAGGTACATTATACCACAGCCGAAACATTCAATGCTGTGTCACTTTAAATACATGCAAGTACATAACCTACATGTAAGTACCTACGGTATTTAAGTACTTAGGTACTTCTCATATCAAAATACTCATCTTTTAGTACGACGCAATTCATTTCATCTCTTTCAACTATTATTTCTCATATCTATACACAAACACGTATTCAAAATGTGTCAAATATGTACGCTCGGGCCGTTAATCTGCGAAATCTGACGGGGAGGTCAATGCTAGGGTCAATGCGGATCTGCGAAGCTAAATCTATTACGGCAGATCCGAAGGCCAACGTGATTCCGCCAATCTGTTCTAGACCTTCTCATCGAAGGCTTGCTTACAAGACCTGGCAGCCCTTGACAGGATTCCCTTGTCCCTGTCAAGCCCTGCCGAGCCCTGCTAAGAAGCCTGCTAAGAAGCCCTGTTGACGACATTCTCCGCCATGACTGAGATGACTGAAATGATTGAGATATCCACCGAGCGGATACACTTCGTCCCCTTCGTTTGAGCTTGACTCGATTCGGCTTGGTGATCGGACTATAATGCTCTGATCTCATCTTCTCCGGTGCGGATAGCAGCATATAGCAGCATATACTATATAGACGCAGAATAAGTCGCTACGATACCTGCTACGATCTACAATGCCGCATGCCAAACCAGAAGCGAGCATCTAATTTGCCTTACTGATTTACCCTGCTGCATACATACCCATACATGCCCATGCCCATATATATTTATATTCCCCATTCGAGGCCATATAACTAGGCCATGGTTGTCCTAATTGGTTTGGCCGCGCATATATGTATGTATGTCTCCGTAGTCACAGCGCTATGCGTGAGGCATTAATCATGTGCTGTTTTGCATGCCAGATCCAATTTGACACGAACATCCGTCATTGATCGATGGCGAGGCAAGTACCTAGGCAGAATAAAGGCATATGGTCTCGTGCTGACCGCCCCTTGCGTAAGACCTGTAGGTGACGGCGTAAAGGTGTGTAGCTCCTGACGATCCCTCTGGATAGTCTCACGCCTCGCTATAGGTGACCATGTAGACACACGCACACACATGGCAACGATTCGTTTGGTATTTTCACCCCGGGCCATAGATAGGTTGATTGCCCTGTCGACGGCTACACTACAACGTGATACATACAATACAATATAGTATTTTAACCGCCCGCAAGGACAGCCATGCCTCGATTAATAGAAAGAAGAAAATAAGATGACGTTCACGTGGGTGAAACTTCATGATCTTTGCCCATCTCCAACTACAATTCTCCATCGTCATTGGCCGCCCTATCTGCCAACTACTTATGTAGCTCATCTTTTACCTGACGTAGGGCCGTAGGCAAAATACTACATATTAACATGCTAAGGCGTATAAAAAAGAACCATGCAGGGTGTGGATCGTTCCCCCACGCCGATGCCCTGTCTTCTCGCGACTAGCTTTGCCTGCCCGTGTCCTCTTAGATATATGAGACTTACCCTCCATGTTCTCTCGCTTGGTTTTGGATAAGTTGGGTAGACACCCTTACGATCGAGTAAAATCTACGGGCCCGCATTCCCCCCGTAGGACTTCTAGAAGGTAGCAAGGTTCTTTCTTCTTCTGTGTGCGAAGGATGCACGTTATATGCCCAAAGCTAGCCGTGCGAATCCTACGGGAACGATGGGGATCTTATTGCCCTCGCGAGTCATAGCCAAATGCTCGCGGGGGTGTTTAGCCAGGCACTTCAGAGGGGGGGGGGGGGATGAACTGTCAGCGAGTCACACGTAATATGTTTATTATTGCAGCCGTCTTTTTAATTCAAAGGTTAATTCATAGGTTGGTGAACGAGGCGGCGAGGAAGAAGACCGTTGTAGGTGTTACCTCGATCGCACTGACAACTGTAGGTACATGCAGTCGATACAACCCCAAACGGCTTCTTGCTTCTACATACAGACGGATACGTAGACGTACATATAACAAGCATGCGCTTCTACATATATATACATTAACGTACATATTCTTTCGGGTCTTCCCCGAGGGCCGCGTGTCGGAACTGTTTGTGTCGAGCCGGGGTGGGAAACTTCCGAGTGAGATACGAAATTAGACGGCGAGTCCTTGTCATATAAGAATGCAAAATGCAATTAATGTACACTATATACAGTATACTACGAATGTACGAGCGGGCGGTTCCGTAGCTCCCTACATATTCCCGCTGCGGGAGGAACGGGCCATGTCTCAAAGTGGGAGGTGAGTTTCCGGAGCTGAAAAAAGGAAGAGAAAAAGAAAATAAAAAAGACGGGCCAATGTCGAAATGAAGTTACGGTGATGACGACTCGGCCGAGTAAGTTCAATTTACGCATGCCTGCAACTGAGCATGTGAGAAGCGGTTGGACAACTCCCCATGTTACGTTTATTACACCGTCTATCCATAGTAGACAACACGTAGCAACCATCCGTCATCTACTACCATAAACCTTTGAGAATCCAATTTTCAACCTATAACCGACGTTGGGACTTTAGTAGACTGTCTCCGATTCCGAGAGGCGTCGGCTTTACTGATGGCTTTACTGATCCGATATCAGGTGGCTCTTAGGGGGTTGTATTAGGGACATGACTTTTCATACCTATCGGATCTTTAACTTCCTTTCAAGTCTATCGTTTGTCTACGTTTGTCTATGTATGACTGATTCTAGCAACATCTATCCGACCTCTCCTATTTCCTCTGACTCTCATTGGGCCGTCGCTCGTTGGGTTTCCTTTTTGCCCCTAACCGCATTTTTTCTTCTTCTAGAAGAATTATATTCCTGGTCCTAACATCACCTACCTACCTACCCCTGCCGTATGCACAACATCGTGTAGCGGCACAAAGGAAGGAATAAAAAAAATGGATTAACAGATGGAAATTCTCATCCCGTGGCCAACTTTCTCATCATTCGTCAGCTTGAGTTGAGCAAATCTTCGATCTTCAGAGCCTGATTTGCGGCCTTCGGATCGTCAAGACCCAACCGAACACGTCCGTCACTTCGCCCGCCGTAACATTTGTGATTACAACCTCATACTGTAGTAGCCGCCAGCTGTTGATTTATGGCACTTAACTGCCGAGTGATCTCACTAAAATTTGGCCGCTTGACTCCGGTTGGATCCGAACACTCACGATGCAGAGCCGCGAGCAGCACACCGACTCGCAACTCTTGTTCGTCGAAGTTGGGCCTGATGATTCGCCAGACGTCTTCGATCAGGTGGGCGAAGGCGAGCGCTTCGACTTGCTCGATTTTCTTGTGGTTTAAATTGCCGTAGATAGATGCTGCGCCGAAGTCGCCTAAGAGCGCATGTCCCCCTTCGTCGTAGAGCACGTTATGCGCGTATATGTCACCGTGTGCGACGCCTCGGTCGTGCAGGTGTTCCGCTGCGGCAGCGATGCCCTGAAGGATTCGCAAGCCCTGCCGTGTGGTTAAACTGATCTCCTGCGAGAAACAGTCCCTCGTGCAACTCTGCAAGGACGGCGGGAGCCCTAGGGTTCCGTATCGCGTTGTGACAAGTTGCATGACGAGCCCTTCCTTATTGGGGTGATCAGTAATCTTCCCCAGAGGATCTATGAGATTGGCGTGGGATCCCGCTGTGATGTACGCCAGCATCTCATCGGCAGGCGTTCCATCGCTTGTAACATCTCCCTTGAATAACTTGATGGCTACTTCTCGAGCCTGATCGGTCCCGTTCCATAATCCCTTTGAGATAATTCCCGAAGCACCCTCGCCCAGAAGGTTGTGAACATGAAGATCTGTCCAGCTGACCTCGGGAAGAGAGCTGAAAGGAGTGGTGTCACAGACATCCTTTGATGTCGCGATTAACGAGCAACACGGATTGCCAGCAAATGAGAGGAAAGCCAGCTCAGGTAGGTCAAAGAGCCAATTTGGAAGCTCTTGGATGCGATTGGCAGAGAGTCGTAATAGGCCGAGCTTCCTACATGCGACCATCTCGTCCGGCAGGCAACGCAGCTGGTTTCCCGCCAGCATGCATTTTTGAAGGCGTCCACACCGCCCGATGCTTTTAGGTAGGGAGCTTATCCGATTGTTGGTCAGGATCAACCAGCGAAGTTTCGGAGGCAAAGAATCCTCCGGTACATTGGTCATCTGGTTGCCACGAAAAGCAACCATCTCGAGCTCGGGACATGATGCTAGCTGTTTAGGAAAGACGGTGAAGTTGCAGTCGGAGAAGAATGCTATCTTGAGATTCTTTAGGCGACCAAAGTCTTCTGGTAAGCTGGATAGCCCTGTCCCCGAGAGGTCGAGATGTTGAAGCGAACCGGCCGCGTCGAAAATGTTGGTTGGAAAGTAATGTAAGGGGTTTGCTACTTTCAACTTGGTGATCTCGCCTTGCGACCCATCCTCTTCACCCGAACTCGCCTGTAGATGCATCGCGCGTCCGAAGTTGTTTATCAACTCGATTTTATCATGCTTACAGAGAGGGTCATAGTACGAAGTAATAAGGCAAAACAAATGAGCCGGGATGTTAAAAGCGCCACAGGGATGAGATGGCTAAGCCTTTAATTACCTCTAATAAACGACGATAGAAGCATCGTACAGGCAGATAGGATATAAAGGTAAGGAGATTATTAGGCATTTAAGTCAATTTAACCGTTGATTAAAAGGCAGCTACTATCTTTATTTATTTATTTATTTAAACAATGACATTAAATGATGAATAATTAAAGTTAAGATGTATTTCATAATCATTATAAGTTAGTTATAAAAAATTAAACGTAGATAATTTTACATAACAGTGATTAGATTTTCGTATATCCCATTTTATAACAATAACATTAAACTTTTTCGACATTAACATATTAATGGTATAAAATCATTGGGTTAACTTTTATGAATTTTTTAATATTAAATTGACAAATGATTATTATGCATTTATAAACGGATATAATTATACAAAAAGTTTAATTTAATTTAATATAATTTATTATTTACCATTTATACTTTTACAATTATAATAATAAATAAATACATGTAATTACATTAATTACGTTATTACATATAAGTTTAACCTTTGATTAACTAGCCACACTTTAGCGCACGTTTAATGAATTTTTTATAAAATCAATTAATTTATTATATTATTATATAAAACTTTTAATAATTGGTATTGTTAAATAAAACGCGTTTTACATGACTTTTTTATTTTATTTACATGTGTTTTAAACTTTATGCGATAAAATGGTAAAAGGAAAAGTCGCTAACTGCGGGGCGATATTAAAGATTTGATTGGCTGGAAAAATTGTGGCAGTATTAATAAAATATAAAAAAGTTAATACGACATTATTTTTCACGATACTGGTTTTTTTTAATTATTTTTAAAAAAGTTAAGCCATAATTAAATTTTATTAAAAAAACTTTTTTTTTTTGTTTACGTCACATTTTTTCGTAAAAAAGTTTTCGTTTTTAAATTTAAATCGAAGGGGGGGAAAGTTTAAAATTCAAAAGCACGGACCAGTGGGTAATAAAACTGATAAAAAATAAAGTTTTAACTAATTAAATCATTTAAATAATCGGGGTTAAAAAATACATTTAATTAAATCATTATAATATAAACATAAGTTAATAAGTAATAAAACTGATAAAATAAAACGCTCGAGCCAGTCGGTAACAAAATTAATAAAATAAAACCTGTAATTAATAAACGTTTGCCCGTAACAAAAAAATGGGGTGGTAACGAGGTTAAACTTTAAAAAAACGCGTTAAAATGCATTAATAAAACGAGGGAAAGTCGGCTATAAAGATTTAACCAATCAGTAAAAGGTAAAGTGACTTATAACCCCGATTATAAAAACAAAACGGTTTTAATTATTACCATTATATTAAACGAACCAATTAAATAAAGTGCACGCACCCCGCCGAAAGCTTTAAATTTACAATTTAATAAATAAACCAATTAAATTAATTATAACTTTAATTTAATGTTACTTTAAAACGTTTACGTGATTTTATAACGAATAAATACGTAATTTATTATTTAACTTTAATTTATTTTATCGTTTTTAATTAATTGATAATTAAAACAAGTTATTTAAATAAATAAAAGTTTTATTAAAATAAAAAATAAATGTATTATAATTTTTCGAGATAATTTTATTATATATATCGTTTTTCCTTTATTTAAAATTTACCTTTTTTTACCTTTTACACCTTTTTACTTAACCTTTTTTAACACCATACATATATTATTTACTTATTAATATTATAATATCGTAAACTTTACTTTTATTTATTATCATTAGTTTTATTTTATAATATATATTATTTTATTTAATTTAATCTTTTTAAATCGCTTATATATATAACATCTCCCTTTTATTTTAAGATTTGACACTTTTTACTTTTTACATTTTTTTTTTAATCTTTTTTAACACCACCCACATATCTCTTGCTTATTAATATTGCGGTATCGTAAGCCTTATTTTTGGCTACAACCGCTAGCCTTATATTTAGGTATATATTGGCTCATTTACCCTCTTTTAAGCTAATATATCTGTTAATTAATGGCAATTTATATCCAGGTTTTTGGTCTCCGGGCTCCGATACTCCCCGCGTTATAATGCCCGATACAGGTAGTTTACTAGCCCGGAGACAGGTCGGCCGGCCCCGCCGCCTGCCACCCCCCCCTGGATATCAACGATGTAACCGATGCCGTCAAGATTTGCCGCTAGCCCGGTTCGAGTCCGTACGGCCCGATGCATTAGAACGGGCTACTACTACATGTGATACGTGCCGGCACAATAAGGTTTGTTCACTATCGTTGCATACGGTTTAACGCTAACCCGTTTACAGGCTGTATCGGCAGGTAATCGGCGCAAACGATCCAGTAATACAGCAGGCATATCAGCCCCGGATTACCGGCCCCGAGGTTTCGACAGTTAAGACTCCGATGGCACTCGGGAGGCGCGTCGGATACATACAGCCACGCAACGTGCCTACCGAAATTAGCGCCGAGATGCCGATGCGCCACCTCCTTCTCCTACACCCCCCTTGCACGCTATCCGGGCTCGCTTACGGGAAGATTCCGGCGCCGGTAACCCTCCACCACCACCACCACCACCACCGCTATTGCCACTAGCACAGCCCCTCGCACAGCCACTTACACAGCCGGCGCCGGATACATTTAAGTCACCGGCTATCAGCAATGCGGACTCGGCCTTACTCGGGGCTTTTTACGATAGTTTGGCCCGGGATATCCGAAAATCTTATATCCGCTGCAAGGAACGGTAGTTTAACATGCGGCTTAAGGGTGGCGTATGCCGTGGCTGCAAGTTTCGTGACGCGGATTTAATGCCGGGTAACGTATATCTTTTCTTGGCTGAAAATGACCTCGATTTTGGTACCGTACCCGAGTCCCTTCCGTTATTAACATAGACGGAGGAGATGGTTATATCTTGGCTCCACTGTTTTGTCGAGGTCTGTTAAATTTGGGGCCTATAGTACCGCTATAAGGGTCATGTTTGCCATTTTTTCCGGGATATCGGCTTACTGTACCGGCAGCTACCGAGGTTGCTCGAGGAGTTTGATGTTATCGTATTACGGCCGACTAACCTCCGACTACAGCGGCAAATTCTTTAAAATTTCCGCGTTTGCCGAGGGTATGTCATACAATAACTCCGCTTTTTACGGGAAAACCACCCCGGCTACCAAAATATCTTGATAAACGAGGGCCGGCTTTTTTAATTGCCGGAGGACGGCGACGTGTTGCCACGGCTACCGTTACATCAGTCGGCTACCGGCGACGAAGGTATTAACGATAGTATTTTGGATGACGATTTTGCCGTTTTTATGGATGAGTGCGATGCTTTTGCCGTCCCTGATTTAATTATTTTGCAGCTGTAACTTGATGCCGTATAAGATTTTATTAATAAATCCAGTGTTTTACTCGATTTGTCCGATGTTCGATCCACCTTTGTGTCCGAGTTAAATAAGATTTAGCCACTTTTATCTTTTGTATTTTTTACTTTTTATTTGTGTGGCGCAAGCGAGTTTGTGGCTTTTTGGTTTTGTAATGTTAAGTTTGTAAACTACGTTAAATATGCCTTTTGGTGGCACGATGACAGATTTGCCTTTTACCTTTGCTTTTGTTATGTGGTTTTTAATATATTACGACGTTATTAAGTTAATAGTTGGAGTACGTTTTATGTTAACCGGGTAAGTTCGGTTAATTTTACCGGCGTTAATAATATATAAGTTGTTTTTAATAAAAATATTTCGGAGGTGTAAGCATTACTCGGCTCGGTAGTTTAATATACCGTTAATATATTAAATATTTGATTTTATTAAATAGGCTAACGGACGGAGTTAAATTTGTAAGTTAATACACTCGGGTATCCGGCGTTGTTTTCCATTTTTAACGTTGCTAATATGTAATGGGATAACTTCCATTAGCTTTTACCGAGGTATTCGAAATGGTAAAACGCCGATAAAATTTTTAAAATTATTATAATTAAAAGTAATTTACGGTTATATTTATACGTTGCCGTTTACCATTTTTACACCCGATTTATAAAATTTTTTAAAGTTATAATTTTAATTAAATTTAAAATTAACGATTTTTAGTATTAATTTAAATGGTAAAACCGGAGTAGTTTATATATTTATACGTTATTATGGAATAATAAGTAAAATTTATAAGTTATTACTTATAATATATTAACGCCGGAAAGCCGGGAAAGCTTTACCCGAGTTTAGTTTAAACATATTACAATTATAAATTTAATATTAAGCCAAATGTTTATAAACAACTTGTTTAATTTTTTAATTAATAAAAAATTATACACCGTTACGTATTTACGGAAAATTATATAGTTTGTACAAGTTTATATGTATAATTTAAATTATTATTTCCGGTTGTTAAAAAAGAAATACGGCGTTAATAATTTAAGTTTTAAACTTATGGTTATTACGTGGGTTTTAAACGAAAAAGCGGTTTAATTACCGGAATTTTGAAAGTTTCGGATATTTATTACAGCTTTCCGGTACATTTCGGATAAAAGTATTAAATTATTTTAATATAAATGTTGATTTTATTATTCCCGTCCGTTAATACCGTTAATTAAAGTTAATAAATCATTAAACTTTAATTATAACGGTTTTATAATAAAACGGAATAATTTAAAGTTAAACTTATATAATGTTATTGTTATAATCGGATGGGGCGTTAATACGGATATGGCGCCGTATATTAACGTATATGTTATAAAAGTTTATATTATTAAATATTGTTTTAAAGTCAAAACGTTTACCTAAGCTTTTATCGTATTAACTGTTAAAATTATACTCCGTTTTAATGACCAGTTTTTGTTTTTATTGTTTATAACGAAATTTATAAATAAGGTATTTAACGAACGTAATATTTTAAAATAAAAGTTAATGTATAAATTATTTAAATATTTGTTATAAATAAGTTTTTATATTACGTTTTAAGTAAATTATTAATTAAATTCCGAAAATATTCGGCGTTTTATAACTATTAACAGGTAAATTTAAAAGATAAACTTTTTATTTGTTAAATATTATAACCGTTTTAATATGTTGTTTTAAATGATGTTATTTAAATGGTTTATTTGGTATAATTAAAATTATAAACCAACGTTTTAACTTTAAGTTTAAAACCGTATTTTTATATATAACCCGAAATATAAATTAAATAAAGATTAATACGAAAATTATTACCGAGTTAAACTTATATTATATTACTTTTTTCGGGATTTTATTAATAAAGTAAAAATTATTAACGGCGTTTTATATAAAACATATGCCGATGTATATACCGCATGTAATAAGTAATATTATAATATTTATTTTATAAATTATTATAAAAAAATTTTGGTTTTTATTAATTATAAAGAATTTTAAAACGAGGATATTTTTACCGAAATGGTTTATAATTTATAAAATAATATGGTTAATTTTTAATTAAATAATTAAAAATATATTACGGTTTAAAATTGGTTAAAGTATCGGCTTAAAAATATTTAATATAATTAAAACCTTTATGTTAATAAATATCCAAATTTTAATAACGGAGTTAATTATTAAGTTAAAGTTTAATAATAATATAATAATCCCGATGTTTACGTTATAAATGTTTTTAATAACGCCGAGAATATGTTAAATATAAAACAGCAAAAATTTTACAATTTATATATAAATTATTATTAAAATTATTTTACTGGTAAAAATCTGTTACTACTGTTAATTAACGTTAATAAACCAGGTAATAACGGGAAAACGTATATGTTAAACGTTTTTTCGGTATATTTACAACGGTTAACGCGGGAACACGGTATGTAAAATCTGGTCCTTTATATTACGTTTACAAAGGTAATAATTAATATTATTAATAGTTATATTTTTTATTCCGTCTTTCAGTTATTAATGTAAAATACGTTTAACCTTTTATTAATTGTAATGTTAAACCGGGTTTAACATAATTTTAACGTTATACGGTACGTTTTTATTAATAAAAAATTTATAATTAATTTAAAGATTTTTCGTTAAATTAACTTCCGATTTAAGGAAATTATAACAAATTTAAATGTAATTATAAATGGTTTAAATATAATTATATTAAATGATTTTTAATAACTCCCTCCCGTTAATAACCGATTGTTATTTTTTTAAAATTTTGTTAATATTAACGATACGGTTAATTACGTTATATACAAATGTTTTAATCGGATAATTCGTTTATTTACCGTTATATAATAAAACGGTTTTAATTAAAAGATTTTTTGTTAAGTTTTAAAAGTTATTTACCATTTTTGTATAAATTAATTTAAATGAAAGTTATTTAACATTAAAGTATAAATTAAATTAAGTTTTAATAAAATTAATCGTTTTAACACGGTTTTTCGGATCTTTTCCCGGTATAATGCCGTAAATAAATATAATTATAATTATTTATTATCTTTTAATTACCTGGTAAAAAATGTTAAAGTAATTAAAACTGGTCGGAATTAAAAATTACTTAATGTTTAATTAACCGGTAATTTTAAATGTTAATTACCCGTAATTATCGGCGCATAATACATATTAACGCAAAATATTTAAATAAGTTAAAGCTTTATAAACAAGTCCGTTAACATTATTAAAGATTTAACATAATTAAAAGGCTTTAATTTATTTACCTTACTTTTTTCCGTTATTTTTATTTTTTTTCCCGGTTATACCAAACCTTTGTTTTTTCGTATAAAGTAAAATAAAATAATAATTTTTATTTTTTGTTTAATTTAATCGTATAAAATTAATAATAAGCTTTATTAACGTAATTAATTTTTATTAATAATTACTTTTATTATTATAATTTATAAAGTTTAAAAAATTATTTATAATTAAACCGTGTTAAATATTTCCAAAAAAAAATTTACCACCGGTTTTATTTACATCGTAATATTACGTATAAAACGGTTAAATAATTTAATATTTATTACCTTTTTTAACTTAATTACATTATAACGTAACCTTAGTAAATTAATTAAATCGCGTATTGTAAACTGGGATAAATGTATTAATTAAATTGTATAATTATATATAAAATGGTCGCTTACCGCAAGCAATAACCCGCTGTTAAACGCCCCCCGGAAAAGCCGCCGGAAACATTAAAAAGTATAAAAAAATGTTTTTTTATATTAAAATTTATATATAATTGTTGTAAAGTAACATAGTTGCGGGGTATAATTACGTAAACTTTTTATTTTTACATATATCGTATAGTTTAATATATTACCTTTTTTATATGCACATATTAAATCTAAAATCGTAACGAAGTTATGATTTTTAAGTTATGACGAAAAAGTTTTCGTCCCTAAAATAGTGCTTGCTCGATTTTCACATTGTCTAGTAGCCACATGGATACTGCAGATGTACGTACCGATTAACAATATGTAACACACCAGGCAGTCGCGGCTCCACTTTAGCCGAATTGGAGGATCCCTGTCGGCCGAGCTTGTTTCCTTCGTTAACATCTTCAACTTCAAACTAAAAGCAGCCTTGTCGCCCATATCCCTCTCTAATCACTGCTTCGCGTGAGGCTATTCAACATATTTTCAGTATCGCATCTTTAGGTTTTTAAATCCGACATCATATTCCCTTCTCGCGATTCCCCGAATCTCTTGGAGGGATCAGAGATCAGTCATTACCGCGCCCGTTCGCAACATCGTTGTTTACGACTCGATAGCGACGCTATATTCGTTCCTTAGATACCAAGACCGGCGAGACTTGACCAGAAGCTTAGGTGTCTTAGGGAGGGCATATGACGAGCAGTCAAGCTCGGCAAGCTTGAATCCTACAGAGTTTCCTTCACCTACTCGACATCACCTCCGTATTAAACACGCGATCTCTCGCTAGCAATATTCAACAGTCTAGTTTCACCTCGCATACGAAGACAAGGCCCGTGTCCTTAGCCATTTTACCGGCCTTCCTCAGGTATTTTCGTGTTACCAGAACGAACCGCGTGGAAGAACCAGGATATTGGATACATACATACTATAAAACTCCTGCGAATATCCGATTTTTAACCAAGGCCTAGAGATCCGTGCTTTTTACAAATTTCTTCTCTAGTCCGCCTTCTCTATACTCGCCCCTACAGTCCAGCGATATTCGCATCCTAGACATTATTTAACAGTTCATTCGATATCATGGATCCCTCCCTCAAACGCGCCGTTCCTAACGACGATGAGAATCATCAAGAGCCTGAGGCTAAGCGACAACGAACTATCGAGCCCGACTCCCGCTCTGTTACACCAGCCGAGGTCGACCTATCAGAGAGACCGATTTACAATGTAGTAAGACGTCCGAATGCCGAAGACTTTGGCAGAGATGGGCTACGACGTTCTATCGGTGTGGCGCTGAAGCACGTGGGCTTCGACGCTGCTACTCCTGATGCTCTGGAGGGGTTTACGGAGACAGTTGACACGTGTATGTGCAAAATAGACAAAAATAGACACCTCGTCCTATGACTTAGTATTCTAACTGCAGTGTAGATATCACTGGCTTCATCGAGCACCTTCGTCGTACCGCCAATGCGGCAAGAAGAAACGATCCTATACCCGAAGATTTCGAGCTCATCCTTCGTCGTCACGATGTTGACCTATCGTCTCTAAAGCTACATCTTAAGAATCCTGTACCGAAAGAGTACGTTGCGCCATCGTTCTTCGACCCCGTAACGGAAGACGTCCAATACCTTCAGAAGCCGCGGCCATTCCTAGGTGAAGAGTTGTCTGGAGAGAAAGAAAAAGAAGCCCGACCGTGGATACCCAAGAATTTCCCTGCGTTTCCTAGCGCGCATACCTACCGATTCACCCCCGCGGAGCAAGAATCCGATGTCGAAAAGGAGCAATTGCAGGCAGAAGCAGATGCGAAGAAGGGCGAGGCAGCGCTGAGGCGAATCAGCCGGGCTGCTAGGATTAGTCGACAGAAGGAGCTCAGAAGCGTCGCGCAGCGCGATCCGCTAAGCCGCAAACGACACCAGAATTGGGAGGCCATGATGTCCGAGTTGCTACCCAAGGCCGGCCCGGCGACGAGTAGTGCGCCGGATATTGCCGACCATAGCTCGATTGTTAATTTCGGTACGAAGTATGGACGGAAGGGGATACCTAAAAACAGCCGACGGCCACAGGCTGACCCCTTCAATGGCATGATTTGACGACTACATATCGACTAGTTGATCTCCGATGAAGGACACCACTACTTAATATTAATAGGTCATGATGCGTGATCTTGGTGGTAAGATGCTCCCCTGTGAGACCGGTTTGTTGTTTAAAGACTTAATTTGTTGAATAGCGAGGTAATCTCACGCACTGCTTTTACGGCTATGGAGATGAGTTCTATTGAGCCCTCTTGATCGTATACAGCGGTTTTCTATTACTTCAGGATCTGGTCGATGTTAGTTCTCACGCGCTCCCATACGTCTAGACTTTGGGGTGAGCGTGATAGATGAGATACGGCTAGAGGAGAAAGTCGTCACTGAGGAAGAGTCGAGCCCTTCTGGGTTTAGCGATTTGGAGATGCACACTCAGATTTTATTTTTTAAAGATACCCAATTCAAGCGTTGTCATTATATTCGATTCTGTTTTGAGCATCGAGATAACCTTGGAGGCTGGGTATGTTGATGTTTTGCAGCGGCACCGTAGAAGGTACTTACAACCCCTTTTTTATTATTCTCCTGTAGCTATGTACTTGTACGTAAGCGCATAGAGGCAACTAATTACATAACCTACATTATGTAGGTAGGGTATAGATTGGCCAGGTGTGAGGAGACTAATTAACAGCTGGCACAGCTGGCACAGCTAGCACCAAACTTAGGGTGCCAATTGGAATGCTGATTGGATAAAGCCCCGCCAATACGGTAACGCTGGTTTGGTTTTCCTAGCACCTGCCGTCAATTTAGCGATTTGACCCTAAGAAATTCGCACACAAAATTTCTCGGGGAAAATTTCAAGTTTGACGATTGTCATTTCGATCACTCGATCATCCAGCGAAGCACATCAACAACTCCTCCTCGCCAACAACCTAAGGTGTACTTCGCGAAAGATTCGAGTATCCCTTCACAATGGCCGAGCAACTTATTCTTAAGGGCACTCTCGAGGGTCACGTAAGTACAATTAATTAATTAATTCATCATCACCTGAATTCAATTACCTGCGAAAAGCCGTGAACAGCAAATGGTCGCTAACGGATTTTTGCGTAATAGAATGGCTGGGTCACCAGTTTGGCTACCTCCATAGAGAAGTATGATCTATCGCCTGCTACGTCGCCTTTTTCGTAATCGCAAGCTTACCTATCGTCATGTAGCCCCAACATGCTGTTGTCCGGCAGCCGTGACAAGACCCTGATCATCTGGAACCTCACCCGCGACGAGTCGCAATACGGATACCCCAAGCGATCTCTCCACGGCCACTCTCACATCGTCTCCGACTGCGTATGTTTATCTCGTTTTCCTGCTGAGAATACAGTGATGGATAAAAATAATTGAAAATTTTGCTGACGGATTGGTATTCAGGTTATCTCCTCCGACGGCGCCTACGCTCTGTCCGCTTCTTGGGATAAGACTCTCCGACTTTGGGAGCTCGCTACCGGCACCACCACAAGACGATTCGTTGGTCACACTAACGATGTCCTCTCCGTCTCCTTCTCCGCAGACAACCGACAGATCGTTTCGGGCTCTCGTGACCGAACCATCAAGCTGTGGAACACCCTAGGTGACTGCAAGTTCACCATCACCGACAAGGGCCACACCGAATGGGTGTCCTGCGTCCGCTTCAGCCCCAACCCCCAGAACCCCGTTATCGTCTCCAGCAGCTGGGACAAGCTCGTCAAGGTACGTTTTACAACATGACCATTTTTATTACGAAAGAGAAGGAATCGCGAGACCCTTTCAAATGATGCTTTGCATTTTAAAAAGTATTTGCTACTTCAGAGCTTGTTTACAAGCCATGAGACATCTTAACACCATTGCACTGATGATATACACCTCGCTATTATTTGCTTGCTACTCTCAAACGTGAGATTGGTATCAAGTGCTAACTCGTACCGCGGTAGGTTTGGGAACTCTCCACCTGCAAGCTCCAGACCGACCACATTGGCCACACCGGCTACATCAACACCGTCACCATCTCCCCCGACGGATCTCTCTGCGCCTCCGGTGGTAAGGACGGCACCACCATGCTGTGGGACTTGAACGAGTCGAAGCACCTGTACTCTCTGAACGCTGGTGACGAGATCCACGCCCTCGTCTTCTCTCCCAACCGATACTGGCTCTGCGCTGCCACTGCCAGCAGCATCATCATCTTCGACCTGGAGAAGAAGAGCAAGGTTGACGAGCTGAAGCCCGAGTTCACCTCGGTCGGCAAGAAGAGCCGGGAGCCCGAGTGTGTGAGCTTGGCCTGGAGCGCGGACGGCCAGACTCTGTTCGCCGGTTACACCGACAACGTTATCCGAGCATGGGGTGTCATGTCGCGAGCATAAATCCTTTTCCCCGGGGGGTCGATATCGGTCATTGACTGGGCGTATGGGATGGGCTGTCATTTGAGCTTTTTACTAAGGGAAATGGCAATCTCTTGTGGCAGGCAACGGAATTACATTAGAAACGTTGCGTTGCCGCTCGGTTGCTGCCATCAGGTAACCCAAAATTTTAAGGAATCGTGAAGACAATAATATCGTCTGTTCCTCGTGCTGATATTGTGACACGAGTTTGAATCTTGGAAGTCTTCATCTCTAAATTCGTAGATTCGTATGAGTTCTCCTGGTAGACGGCGTCGCATAGGAGTTGGGCTACTGACATGGAATATTAGGATGTAGCTAAACTAAAACAGTATTCATAGAAAAAGCCTCTGATATTCATGTTGCTCTAATTCGGTAAATCTATCTTTGATGGTGTTATACATATAGATTCAGATTATTTTTCGAACCCGCCTACGCCTACGCTCTCGGCCGTGACCTCGGGGTCCTTTTGTACCTGGACACTCGCGATTCCTTCTTGTATCTTTTCATGATCCACAGGTCCTGTTCTCCCATTCCCTGCCTCCAAGTCATCATCGTTCCCGCCGCCCACAGGTATCCTCGGACTCCAATGCATACTACTATCCAAAGTTTCCGAGTCTTCATCTGTTTTGGAAAGGGTGCGAGATTGCTGGCTAAAGAGAGAAGAGGGCAGAGCAAAAGAGGGCATGCCGTTGCCGGTGGCGAAAAAAGGGGAAGATGTGCGGTGGCTTTTTCTCCTGTTCAAATTCCTTCTGCTTCCTCGGTTTGACCGTCGGAAGCTTGAACCGGCCGAGTCGGAGCCCCGGTAGAAGGCGGCGATGCTGATGAGTGGTAGACCGGCGGCTACGAGGGTTTGTACCCAGGATCCGGCGTCGAAGGGCAGGACGCGGGTATTTCCTGGTCCGGCTGCTACGTCGAGCCCGGCGAAGAGACCTGTTATTGTATTAGTTTGGTTTCTTCGCTCCTTTACACTGTGACTTCACTCTTCCAGAAGTAAAATAAGAATTCCTCGACTTACAAGGCGCCAGCATAAGAATACCATTCCCAACGGCCAAAATCTCAAGCGAGCTCAGTTCCCTCCCACTGCTCCCGCCCCCTTTCAAAGACAGGGCAATCGACATCTTGCGTCCCTTGCCCCGGAGCACGCGCCTCGTGGCCGCGAGGTGTAATGCCAGATGCGTAAAAAAGACGCCGCAGAAATAAAACACCGACATCGCGCTGATCACTGCAGAGGTCTTCCCTACGCCGTCGAGAGGCACGGGAAGCGTGTGTCCCTTAAGAGCTTGCGTGTAGCGCGCTACCCAGACAGCTCTGAGCGCGACGGCGGCTGCGGCCAGGGTCACAGCCAGGAAGAGGACTGGAGGGCGCCACCAGCATTTACCGACTCGGGCGGTGGTCGTGGAACTGGATGAAGGACTAGTGACGGGAACAGAAGAACGGAGAGATGGAGACGCGGAGTACACGCCCCAGGTCCGGACTAAGACGCGGCTTTGGAGCATGAGAGACGCTTCGACTAGAGCGAGTTGCAGCACGCTTAATGCACTAGAAGCCGTTGTTATATTATACGCCTCAGACGGTAAAACGGAGGCATCGCGGGTCCAGGCCACGTAGTACTCGGTCAGCGGGCCGGGGAAGTATAGCACGAGCAGGATGAGCCGGGTAACCGAGACGACCAGGCATAGGACCTGCGACAAGTGCACCGGACGCCGGAGCTTGGTTGTAGGAAGAAGTAGGAGTGATGTTAGCAGGGATAAAAGGCAGAGGCCGAGTTGTACGCCGTAGTTGATAGACGTGCTGGCAAGACGAACGCGCTGCGCGTTGATGTTAGAACTACCGAGGATGAAGAATGTCTGGTTCCGGGGGTCGAAGAGAGCATCCATGAGAGCACGGTTGGGCACTCCCACCTACCAAGCAGGATAGAGGCAATTTAGAGAGATGTCGTCGAGGGTTGTGGGAACGGTGATGAGAAACTATGGAGTTGAAACTCTTATAGTTTACACCGTTCTACTGCATTTTCACTTTTAGGGGCGGGTTCATGAGTCGCGTTACTACTGACCACGATATGTATACGCTCTATACTGACTGTACTATATCCTCTAGTCGGGAATGATTATAAATAAAAAGGGAAGAAAAAGAAGAAGGGAATTTGGGTGCGGCTCCTCCGTCGATATTAGATAGACACAGAGACATACACACATACATACATGCATACATACATACGCGCGCCCTTCCCCCCATTCTCGGTAGATCAGGGCGGGAAAAAAAGCAAATATGAACGTCAGCCCTGAATTACGGTACGCGGCGACGCCTCTAGACCTTCCTACTGGACGCCCGCAGACACATCTGCGTAGGTATCTAGACCGTATCTTGTCCTAGGACTAGAGTCATAGAGGGAAAATATCCGATTGCGTGTCTTAGGCGTGAGGTTCTCATTCGTCCGATCGAAAGGGGGCGATGGGATGGGAGGCCTAACGAGCTTGTCCATGGTAGCTTGACAGGATGGGCATACATAATGGCATTCTTCCTCAGGCTCAGGCTCCTCTGGATGTAAGTTGGTATGTCATGCAGGGAAGAGCTCTTGGGAATTTGATCATTTTGGTGCTGTCGGTGATTTAGGTAGTTTATGAGCCATTGACTTGTCGTCCGAATTGTCGGGATTATGGCTGGCTGGGTTTATGTCTATGGGTAAGGGATATGCCAACTGGATCAACTAATTACCTATATTATATGTCTTATATTCAGTTTGCCGTATTATGTCTTCTCCTAACAGCAATATGAAGCTTAGAACGGAAATTGATAAAGCGATATAGTCCGATCATACGAAGAATACTTACGTTATTGATATATTTTATATATGGAATAATACCTATATAAATCACTACTCTTTTAATTTAAATTCTCAATAGATTTATGACGCCACAGCAAAGACATCCTCGCACTCAAGTTCTCATTCTCACTAGTTACTATAATCTTGATTCGGATTTCGTGGGATTCTTACGTCAACGGTCATCGAAGTCAAGTACATATTATACTAATAGCCATGAACCTGTTCTAGGACTTGAGTCGTAGTATTTATGACATCTTTCTTACTCTGCTATACGAAGGCGGCGGTGCCGAGGATCGAGGACCCATTACCAAAGGCCTGTCTTCCTAGCTGGCGATCGACTAGATATTTATACCCTTCCAGAACAGCTTATTCCTGGCTTGCGGCTCAGCTTAACTATAATTCGACGTTAAATGTTTACCTAGTTGGGCTATGCCCAATCACGTTGTATATCTGCTCCCTAGATTTCCTCACGGAGGAGGATATCCGGTTCTATCCGGCATCCTACCTGCATTAGCCCAGATTATATAATTAGGATTGGATCGACTTCATATGTGAAGAGGGCATCGCCTTGATCATTATCTTTACCGTTCGTATGGTTTACTTATACGCGGAAGAGATAGATAAAGAAGGGGTTGGTCATGTTTTGTGTAGTTGAAGAGTACCTAAGACATATGTTTCTACATAGTGATATAATTCATTCATGAGTCTCACGTCGCTCGGCGTCTAAGTCTGAGGTTGTACATTTGTATTATTCGGGCGAGTAAAGGACCGTCTCGACCACCAGCTGGGAGGCACTGCTGAAGGATCCTACGACACGGGATTATGGGCGGTGCTAGTAGCCACCATCTGCCTGTTTCTCGCGAGTACCCTTTCATTCACGCGGTTGAGTGCCAGACGGCGACTGGATACGAAGACGCAAACGACCCCCGTTCACAGTGCAGGATATCACAAACGAGAAAAGCAGAAGTCTCGGGTGGGGGTGCGGGTGCGGCAGATCGCCACGAGCTGGGAGGCCATGAGAAAGGAAGTCCTGCCGAGCTGAAGCATCAAGATAGATACCACGAGCGAGATAATAGTCAGGTGGTAGCTCGGGGAAACGAATTAATAGAACTACCAATATTTATGAGCAGAAAAATCAACCTATTTAACTTATAAATCTGTATATTATCGCTGTTGTTATGAGTAAATAATCTAGCAATAGCCTCATGCACTTAAACTCTAAGGGTTCGCGGCACAGGAGGGGTATCAACCTCAATCTTGTCATCATGTTAAATAACTCATTCTCGAATTCATAACGGCACGAGTACATTTTCTATTAGCCCCTCCTAAGCTGCATAGATTAATAGTTTCGGGCCTCTAATCGTAAAAACATTGATCTCGCAACCCTTGACGCCCACGTGCAAACCTAGAACTGCCATCTTCACTTATGAATTTCGGTCGAATACACCGAGGAAAAAAAACAACGCCGGCCCCATGCATTTTATAGTCGGGCAGAAAACTGACCCTATGTCATCCGTCATCTTACCGAGACCCTCCCCTCACCTATTAGCTGACCCTAACTAGCTTTACGAAGCCAGTGGTCATCTTTAGCGGATACTAGCGCCAGAACGGTCGGTGAACAGGCGGGTTCCGATATTCATAGCCTGAAGCTCTTGGAAGAGGAGCTTGGCCGCGTACGGGATATGAACCTGTGCAATCTTGGTCTTGTTCTTGCATGGGCGGCATTCAAATGAACCCTTGCTTAATATACTATGAAATCAATGTTAGTATTTGATGAGACGAAATCTAGAATGGGGACTTACGCAATAGGGGTCATCAGACCACAAATCTCGCAGACGTGGACTCTGAAGGCATCTGAAACCTCGAACAGACGCTCCTTGAGGAAAGAGGCGGCACCGTGGGCTATCATACAGTCACGTTCCATTTCTCCGAAACGGAGACCTCCATCCCTAGCACGACCTTCGACGGGTTGTCGGGTCATTATCTGCACGGGGCCACGCGCACGCGCGTGGATCTTGTCGTCTACCATATGCCTGAGACGCTGGTAGTACGTGGGGCCGAAGAAGACTTGGGCTCGGAGCTTGCGTCCTGTGTGACCATGATACATAATCTCGAAGCCGCGAGATTGGTATCCGTGATCACGTAAAAGGCTCGACACTGAATCAACAGTGACATCGGTGAACGGCGTAGCGTCTCCCTCCATTCCCTTAAGGGTGGAGACTTTACTAAGCAGACACTCGATCAAGTGAGCAATCGTCATTCGCGAGGGAATAGCGTGGGGGTTGATGATGATATCGGGGACGACGCCTTCGCGGGTAAAAGGCATGTCTTCCTGGCGGAACGTGACACCGATGGTTCCTTTCTGTCCGTGACGAGAAGCGAACTTGTCTCCGATTTGAGGAATCTTAGTGGTTCGAACTCGCACCTTTACGTAGCGTAAACCGTCGGGGTTCGTAGTGAGGATAACCGAATCAATAATACCGGTCTCGGTGCTACGAAGAGGCGTAGATGCGTCACGCTTGACATGTACCTTGGTGCGCTGGCCCATCTCCTCGTTATCCGGATTGATCGGTGACGTCTTTCCGATGATGATGTCCTCTCCCAAGACACGGACACCGGGAGCGACAATACCGTCATCGTCGAGTTTGTCATATGTGCCTTGTTTGAGACGTAGCGTGTCCGCCCGGAATGGTTTTTCAAACGTCTCCACCGTGTTGATACCCACCCGTTTTTCGCAGTCGCTGTACGATCGGAAGAAGAGACTTCGGAAGAGACCTCGGTCTATACTGCTCTGGTTCATGATTACAGAGTCTTCCTGGTTGTATCCTGAGTAACAGGCAATGGCCACAATGGCATTCTGACCAGCCGGAAGTTCTCGGAACTTTAAGAATTCCATAGAACGAGTCGTGCCTAACGGCTTCTGGGGGTAGTAGAGAATATTCGCCATAGTATCCATACGGCGGTTGTAGTTGGTAAGATAAAATCCCATGGCTTGTTTACCCATAGCCGACTGGTAAGTGTTTCTGGGAGACTATGCGGAGAGGTTAGTGATATAACAAAGGGGTTAAGGGATGAACGCATCACGTACCTGATTGTGGTCCGGGAAGGGAATAATGCTCGCGCAGATACCCAGGAGCATGCTAGGATGGATCTCGCAATGTGTGTACATGTGCGTCGTGGGATTCACCTTAGTCTTGAGCCGCTTATTAATCTCATCTCCATTATCCTGGGACACGTCGTATCCGAGCTTGCTCATCCGGTAGGTTTCTAAATCTTCAGGAGTCATGCAAATCATAGCCGTTTCTTCTTCCTCGGCATCGAGGTACTCGATAACACCCTCGTTGACCAGACCCTGCCAGCCAAAGTACTCCTCGCTTTCAGGGTCTAGCTCGACATCCGCCTCCAGCCTCTGGATCATCTCCTTATTGAGAGCTAGCGAGCCCTTCGTAGTACCAGCCTCGGGATTATCCTCTTGCTGCACAACAAATAAGGGCCGCATGACACGACCAGCATCCGAGAAGATCTTGAACTCGCGATCACGGATATCGCGAACTAGCGACACTTCAGAGGGGATCTGGTTGGCCCGACGAAGTTGCTGGACGTCTCTAACTAGAGACTTGGGATCCTGGTGCACACCGATCCAAGATCCGTTAAGGAAGATCTTGGTGGCATTGGGGTATCTCATGGGTTCATATTCCTCCAAGACTTCCATATTCCTAGTAATCATATAGTCTACGATAGGATCTGTTGACGTACCCACGCTGATAGAGCACATAAGCGACAAATTCTTCACCAACCCACAAGCTTGGCCTTCGGGCGTTTCGGCCGGACAGACCAGACCCCAATGGGTATTGTGAAGTTGTCGAGGCTTCGCGAGTTTCCCGTCTCTTCCGATAGGCGTGTTCGTGCGCCTTAAATGAGAAAGAGTCGAGGCGAATGTGTATCGGTTCAGAACCTGCGATACGCCAGCTGTCGAGCTCATCGCCTTCTTCTGGTCACCCCAGTTGCCTGTAGCGAGAGAGTACTTCAGCCCATTGGTTACAATAGCAGGCTTGGCGGCGAGCTCAATTTGGAAACGCCTGCCCGAATCGATACATCGTTTGAGGTGATTTGTGATCTCCTGGACTAACCGACGAACAATATTCCGGAATAGCTTCGCAAGGAGAGGGCCTGCAAGGTCAAGACGCTTCTTACCAAAGTGATCGCGATCGTCGGTGTCACGTCGACCGAGAGCACATTGAAGGAGCTTGTGAACCATATAACCTAGGAAAAAGGCCTTTCTCGTCTCGCAACCTTCGGTTTGGGAGATGTGTGGAAGCATTTCTTTTTGCAA